ACCTTGGTATATATACCCTTGGTATATATCGGCCAATTTCTACTATTTTTCCAGCGATCCGCGGTGCCTGGTAGAGGCTAGTCGGGGCGACAGGCACGCACTGCCGCCGCATTGCTTACGGGAGGCCAGGCGCGCGCTACCGAGCGGGGGATCAATGTATGCACGACGATCTGCAGGGGCCGCAGCGCAGGATCGTAAAAAATGGCCTAATAGCATACATAATAACACATACATAAGACCTACACGAACCAGCGCCCACCCCAAAATTTCCAGTATGAAATAAAAATACCAAAATTTTATCAATCCTGTCAATAGTAGAATAATTTGCACTGACTGACAGGAAAAAATCCTGTCAGCAGTGCAAATTATTCTACTATTGACAGGACGATCCTGTCAGCAGTGCAATATTTTCTGCTATTGACAGGACGATCCTGTCAGCAGTGCAATATTTTCTGCTATTGACAGGACGATCCTGTCAGCAGTGCAATATTTTCTGCTATTGACAGGACGATCCTGTCAATAGCCACAGGCATTTTGCCTAGCATATGCCTAATGTTTACCTTCGGACATGGTCTGCTCTGTTAATTCTTACTCAAACACATTCACATACATGTACTACTAGTATATGGTTACAGGAGCAGAGCAGACCATGAAATTGCAACACTATGTAACCCAAAACGAATCACCATGGTGACAGACGTCAACAAATCATGTCATTGGTCAGGTCAGAGGTCACTGTTTGGAGAAAAAGAAGAGGAAGAAACTGAGCAAAACATATTTAGGCTTTAATTTGTAATAAGCTACTCTACCACTATATTCATGTCAGAGATACACAACATTTCAACATCATTGTAAGACGAAAGTACCCATAGTCTAGCTCTTTTACGGCAAGTACATTGAACAGTAGACCACGGCTCCAACGCCCCATTCTGAAGGTTGCACCCTTTCAAGTAGATGCATGAACAAAAACAGCCGGGCCGTGTATACTTACAATCTCTTGGTAAGGTAACTGGCATATTTTACAGTATCTAATTTACTAATTTGTACCTTGCTAAGTAATATAATAACGAATACAAGAACAAGCTTGCATGCATGTATTATAGATTTCTAAAGGCACAGTGATATCTGAATTTTACCGACAATTCCAACTTAATATTACTAGAAAGATAACATTTATCTTCGAATTCGCATATGGTCTTCTCTGTTAATTCTTACTCAAACACATTTATATAGATATATATGGTGACAGGAGTCTAAATCCCTCCTGCCATAAAATTGCAACATGATCTAACCAAAAACTAGTTACCATGGGGATAGACGTCTGGCTCATCAGGTCATTGACCTTATGAAGAAGGAGGAGAAGAAGAGGAAACAGAGCAAAAACATTATGTTTTCCTTCGTTAAACTTAACCCTTGTCCTGTTGACATTCCTGGCACAATATTTTTCAATAATTTCATGTCTTAATTAGATCATAGACCCCCAATTTTTTTTGCCCTGCAGTGGCATAGTTACTTCCGCATTCGTTGCGTTTCGCTGCGGTGTGATGCGTTGCACGAGAAATACCGCCAAATCGTACATATACAGGATGCAGTATAGATGGTACTGTATTTGCAGAACGACAATTGTTGCGCTCAGCAGGACAAGTGTTTTAACAATTCATCCTACCAACCTGGACTCCTCCGCTTCACAAGCCTCACGAGGTATGAAAACGTCACAGACAGGAATGATGTAAACCAGCAGCATGGCGTCAATAGTACCGCACAACAAGGGCGCCGTGAAGCCGATGTAGTACACACAGATACTGCAATAAAGAAATTCAAGAGTATTTTAGTGATTTTGGAAAAGTAATCAATGGTATAAGTTATGTTGGTAATCTTAGAATTCATAGCGGTTAAAAGTAATGATTAAGCGAAAATACATGGTTAAATAATAAAAGATAATGCTTTAATCAAAGATTTATTTTGAAATTGTTGATTTAGATAATATTGATATAATTAAACAATTGCTTTAGAGTGGTGGGTGATATACAATGTATTTACCACTCTCCTGTAGGTAATGAAAAAAATCAAAGCTCTCAAAGCATGCATATGACCAATTCACACCTGTACAGACGGTTTCATAAAAAAATATAAATCCATCTGGTGCCACTGGAAGACAGGCAAAAAATGCCAAGATTATGGACGATATACAAAATGGTTAATAAACTATTGGATGTACCAACTAGTTACTAATACCAGCTCAGAAGAAAAAATAAATAATCATGCCTTTAAGTATTATAGTTATAAACTAAGGATTGATGTGTCAAAAACTCCTAGAACCATATCATAGACTGGAACTCGATGCCACCAAGTACAGTATCATCCCTTAAAGACCAAGAGGTTTCAGTGCTAGTTCAATGTATGTACACCTTTCGACCGATACATTCGATGCTAGACGGAGGAAATTGTGTTATTCCTTCATTAATAGACTTTACGCCACCAACAATAGTATAACATACTGTCTATTGAGGTTTGACTGTCAGTTCAGAAATACGTATTTTAAAAATGTATATAAATAGTTGTATGGTTAGTGTTTCTGTGGTTTTTATGTTTGTATTATGGGATTACCTGAAATAAAGCCATTCATTCATTAATTCATTCATAGCTTTACACAATGTTTATAGTTGAATGTACAAACGCTAGGTGTAACAAGTCGTTCGGTGCAATTAGCCAGTTTGATAGATTCCCTAGTTTATTAGCCATTTTGTATATGATGAATAATAAACAAGACTGGCAATGAAAACATACATTGCCATGGCGACGGTGGTTGCTGTTAGGGTTATTGTTTGCATGGTACTGCCATGATTTCATGATTTTGAGGATTTTGCCCTCCCCTGAGTGTATAGTGAACGAGCCCCGGGGTCACAGAAAGTACATGTAGGGCATCCGGGGCAGACAGGTTCTCCCAAGGGTTTCCAGGAATGTGGGCATGTCAACAAACAGAGCTGTGAGACATGCCTGTGGACATTCCATGCCTGTGAACAAATGCCTGTACAATTCCTAGAATTCTTGCGAATTGCACACAACACTGTACCATTAGGCTACTACCTAAGACGTCGACAAAAATTAGGTTAACAGACCTGCAGGCAAATACAGACAGGACGTACGCCCCCACGCTACAGAAGATGTTGACCAACAGTTCGTCAAACGCCGGGTGGAAAGCCGTGATGGAGTTCCAACCGGTCAGGCTCCACATGGTCTGCACGTCTCCGATCTAGTCAGGACAGAAAAAAAGTTAGGCTACACCAGGCTCCTTTGAAGGCTAAATGGGTAGTAGAAATGCTACTTAGCATTGTCTGCGAGGACATTCAGAACATGCGAGTATGAGATTGTCATGTAGAAGAAAAAAAAATTAATATACTTGTACAGTTAAATTTGTCTAAGACGACCACTCATGTAAGACGAAAAGTGCTCTTCTTAGAGAAGTGGTCTTCTTGCCTTACTTTTTGTATAAGAGGGAACAGGGAAGCTGTAGCAAAATTTTCACCCATTTTACAACACCAGCCAGGTCTAACCTCATTTGCATAGGACAGGAAGGCATCGGAATGATCTTGGTGACGTTAAACAGCTTGTTTTTCAGTGTGTTTTGGTGTGTTGGGTCATTTTATGCTCAAGGTTAGATAAATTACTATGGGTTGATTCGGACAACAAATAGAGAATGAATTTTTGGAATGAATTGTTTGTAACGTTATAGTGGTAACGCTATATGATGCTGTGTTGTTACAAACCACATGTTCCATGTTCCATGTTCCATGTTAAAGGAACACAAAAACGTCAAAACGTCAAGTTGTTTAACGTCACCAGGATCATTCCGATGCCATCCTGTGCTATGCAAATGAGGTTAGACCCCCTGTTTTCGCGTTGCATTCTGGGGATGGGAAACTCGTGAATTGCTCAAAGACAGTCATGCTGTCGAAATCAATGGCAAACAGACGGATTTTATCAGCATTTCTCGCTTGTTATCATACTAAAATGGTAGCCTGGTTACCAAACCTATTATAGCTCCCGAGT